ATATAGTTTGTTTACTACACACACACACACACACACACACACACACACACACACACACACACACACACACACTGTTTGGGGGGCCTGATCCTGATTTTTGAATATTTGGAGTTAGCAATTTTGCAATCCTGAAAAGTTTTATTTGGGTTCAGTTTCAAAGTGAGACCTAGTGACAGTTATTTTATTCAAGCTAATTTACCCATCCCCCAGAATCCATTCCTAATTTTATCATTTCAGTAATTGAACAAACCAGACCAATATTCTTTGCCATGTTTTGAATATATACTAATAACTTATCTTCAAATATAGGACACTCATTTAAAAAAAACATTTTTAGGAAGCAATTAGTATTTTTATTGCAATCATTGAGCCCACCTCAGCCCTCATTTCAACACTAATAAAGAAAAGGTCAAAATAAGACCCCTACTGTATAATATATAATATATAATATGTAGTGTGCAGTATTCCCATGAATGTCCTACATTGGTTATCTTCTGCTGTGTTTTTTTTCATAATGGGGAACCTGTAACCCATATAGGTAGTTCTCTGTCTGATTTGTTTTTAATGTACTATAAACTGCTTTGCTTCTCACTAAGTAACAGAGAGAAGAATATGAACTTTAATTTTGATGCTATGGAGTATTATAATGATTCCAGCCTTTGTTTCTTTCAGAAGATTCTTTGCTTCAAAGAAGGCTCTTACCTCTCTCACATTACTAAAGTAGGTTGAAATTTTGCCCCCATTGAAGTCTGTGGAAAAACTCCCATTGACTTCAATGGGTCCAGGATTTTGACTATAGTAATTAATGGTACAGCACTAAATTATGCAGATGAAAAGATTAAATAAGAAAATTACCATGGCCAGAAAATGATTTTTGTTTAAATGCTTGTTGGCTTGAATGACTGCACCGCACTTTAAGCAGGGGGTACTTGGCTGGCTGGCCGACCAAATTAAGGAAATAGCCCTTTATGGTGGGGGTGGAAGGAGGTGAAAACTACTACAATGGGTCAGCATGGTCACTGACTCATCCCCTGGGAATGCAGGGTTCAAAAGGGGCAGCTCTGCTCCTGAAGCTTCCCTTTTACACGGAGCAGGCTGAGGCAAGACCCACCCTCTCTGCCCTTTTGGTGGTAAAATACCAGGTTTGGTCAATACCTGCTGTGGGCATTACCCTAGCTGCCCCTTTTTTTAGGGGGTCTGGGAAGGAATTTTCCCCCTACCATCATATTGGCTTGGGTGCAGATGGGTTTTTTTTTGCCTTCCCCACAGCGGGTGCAGGAAGGGCTTTGTTCATGCATGACATGAAGGGCGGTAGACTGTATGTCACAACTCATTATTTAAGTGTAAGTCCAGTGCAGGTACTCCATAGGAAAGGTATACAGTGACCAGATAAATGGCTTGGAAAAGGACTTAAAAAGAGGTGTTCATTAAAGGAACAAATGGGGGCAGTTGGGGACTCCTATGATTGGTATGTTAGGGAGCCAACTCCCATTCTTATAGCCCACCTTAACCCTCTTACGAAGGGGGGTGGATGGTAAGATCCCAGCAATGGATTTACTGGAGGGACCTGGATGGAAAAAGAGGGGGAGCTAGTAAAAGACCACCGGGTAATTACAGAATAAACATAGGGTTATCTGCACTGTACATTTTTATCTGCTGGGTAGCCCCAGACATCTAATAATAAAGTTGCAGCCTTATTAAACCCATGTCAAATGTCTCCTGTCCTTTTGGTATAGCCAGACAATTGCTGTTTGCACTTTGCTTGTATTCGTTCGTTTGTTTTCTTGAGCTGCCACTCCTCTCCCATTCTGTCAAGATTTCATTCTTACAAGTCAGTCATTCCAAAGTATTCATATTTATGGGGGAGACAAAGGTTTGTAACATTAGGATGTCATATTGTTAAAAGATGAACTGTTAGAGATAAAATCAAAGGTTCAGATATTCCCATAGGTCTTCTAAAGCCATTGGGAACATTTTTTCCCCAGAATGAATATCCTGGGATTTTTTGTTCCTTATTTAAGTATCCATGCTGCTTAGTTACCAGTATTAGGATAGATAATGGATTTTTGTTTTACCAATAATTTTTTTCCCCTGAAGATTTCAAAACACATTAGACAGGTGTACAGAAGGATTTTTAAGGAGGTTTCTCTTGGCAGTTTCTGCTACTGGAGAATGGTAATATTATCTTACAGAAAATCTTTGAGATAATATTAGCTTGGTGTGTGACTATATGATCCTGTACAAAACTATATGTCACATATCCAGTCTGAGAGATCTGACAAGTACACCGTTGGCTTAATATAGATGTGGCATGCTGTTGTGTACATGCACATTTATATATCTACATGGGTGTTCACATATATGTGTATATAGATAAAGGAAACACACAAAGTTGGGAACTTCTTTTTTACATTGCATTTTCTTGTTACTGAATTCTTGTTTTTAATTGCTGTTATTTCTTGTTTACTGAACAGCACTGAATGTTGGAAAACTGAGCTACTGTGTGTGTGTGTGTGTGTGTGTGTGTGTGTGTTCATATATATACACTGTATGTGTTTATATACTGAAAGTTAAACACAATGTTTATGAAGCCTTGAAATTTTGCCCGAGGATTGCATGCATTACCAAGACCATGGGAGGCAAGTCAAGATTTCAAAGTGAGAGGAGAGGAATCCCAGTTAGTAACAGCAGTAAAAGATGCTGAGGTTAGGGCAAAAATAACTTTGCTTAATATTCCCTCCCCAAGACGAGGCATGGTCCTGAGTATAGCAACAGCAATGTTACCTCTCCTCCTAGCTGCCCTTGCATGCCACAATCAGAAGTATTTTTCTTTAACTCAAAAGCTATACTAAATATGTGTGCCATATGTAAGTATATATAGGGCCTGGTTTTCCTCTCACTTTCACTGGTGTGTGTAACTGCATTTATATTGGTGGAATTACTCCTTATTTACAACAATGTAAGTCAGGGGAGAATCAGGCTGATAATGTGTAGTATATTTAGCAAGAGACTGAACAGACTCTGAATTGATGATATGAAATTGTATCCTCTATAATTAGACATGCTTATTAAAAATAGTTAGTTTTAACTGCCTTCAATGTATCCATAGTTAAAAACAACTTGTCATTCATGTTAAGATACTGTATGTTAAATTAAAAATGTGTTTTAATTTCTAGTCCCCAGTGCTCCCAGGGCTGTTGCTTTTTCCAACGTTCAATCAACAAGTGTGACTTTGATATGGAGAACCCCAGATACTATCCTTGGCTACTTTCAAAACTACAAGATTACTACACAGCTACGGTCCATCCACTGCAGTGACTGGGAAAACAATGAATGTATTGAATATGAGAAGGATCAATATTCGTATGAAACTGGTGTTGATGACTATATAGAGGAGATAGTACATGAACTAAAAAAATTCAGATGGTATAGGTTTAAAGTTGCCGCTAGTACAAATGCCGGCTATGGCAACACTTCACCTTGGATTTCTACACAAACTTTGCCTGGCTGTAAGTAAGGATGACTGTCATACCTCGTATTTCTATACTGAAATTGAGTCCAGCTAGATATGCAAACATTGTAGTCAGAGGTTATGATGTTTCTTCATAAAGCTATAGCAATGGTGAAGCAAAGAAGAATTTGTTGTAACTTTGCAGCTTTAATATATTTCCCCTACTATTTTACTTATTCATAGTTAAAGTAATTCAGAATGAAAGAGCCTGTTCGATGCTAGATGCTATCTTACTATTTACAAAATGGCCATTTAATTTCTCAGCCAGAGTCTTCTCCTGAAATACACAAGTCAGATTTCTGATTTTGGCAGTTTCCATTTCCAAGTAAGTGGTGTGGGGTCAACTAAAACACACATGCTTTCAAACCATCACTCGTTTAAAACTTTACTTGTTTCACTAGTCTAATGTGTTTCACCAGACTAATGGCACTTTCTCTATTAGGGGAGCATAAAGAACAGCTAGATTTCTTGTCAATATCATATGCTTTAAATTTAATGTAAGAGCTCTTAAGTGCTGCTTGAGATTTCACAGGAAAACTGTAGAGGAGATGAGAAATGAACAGAAGTCTCCTACATCTCAGACAAGCACCCGAACTACCATCCTTCCTCTACTTTGCATTCATAAAGTTAAGCATATGTATACTTATACAAAGTTAAACAAGTTTGCAAGATCAGAGCCTAAGTGTGCACTGTATATTATATATGCAAGTGTTTACACACACACACAGGGCAAAGCAATGACAGTAGCATATTATATTTATTATATTTCAGCTGTTGGCTTCTGTTTCCCATACCTTCTCCTGTTTCCACAGAAACCAGATCAGCAAAAATAGAGAACCATAATTTGCATTGATTTTTAAGTAGAACTCACCATTGATTTTAATGGGAAATTCTGCCTATAAATTGATGGCATGATATAGCCCAAGATAAAGGGGTTAAAGCTTTTTAAAAAATAATCCTAGAACCTACGTTTCTGCAGAAACTGGATAGGAAAAGCTGCTGGTAGCTAACAACTCTGAAAAAGATTTCTCACTTATAGATCTCAGCTGCTGTCTGCCTGCTGAGAAATGCAAGTTCCAGTTTCCTAAAACAGCTGCTGAGTTAGGACTCTTTTAGTTTCAAATTGAGGGGTGGGGAAGAGGATTTAAAATAAAGCACTAGAGAAAGTATCTTTTAGATTTCCTCAATAGCAGTGTGCAATGATTTAAGAAAGGGTTAACTTGCTAAACAGTTCCAGGTAGTGTGGTTATCATGGAAGTTATAGATGGAAGAAAAGACCTGTTGGACTGTTCAGTCAATTTGCATGTCAATACAAATACTGTCCCCAGCAGTAGATTCTCCTTCTATTATCTAGTCTAGTTTTAAAGGTGCTAAGCAATGGGGTTTCCAACACTTTTCTGCGGGTCTGTTCCATACCCAAATACATCTAACAAATGAGACATATTTCTTAATATGTAGCCTACATTTTTCTTTTTAAAAGTTATGTCAGCTTTCCACACATAGAATATTTGCCTTTCATAATTTTAAATGTATAAATCTATATGGATGATACCTGGAGTAAATAGTAAAATTTAGTATTTTTCCAGATCATGAGATACAGTAATGAATTCAACAATATGAGATTTAATCGTACAAGTTTTTGGAAACTATTGGCAGTTATTTCACACTTACAACCCAATTAAACAAGTAGAATATTCACTGAGAGCTGTCAACATTCTGAACTGGTGCTGAACAAATGTAGTTACCTGTGGAATTTTCAGATAGGCTTTTGCAACCTGTGCAGCAAGCTACTATCAGAAAACCTGATTATGAAGCGTAAGTTTTAAAAAAAGTATACAAAATAGAAATATAGGGCCAAATGCTGATGTCACTTACTCCCATTCAGCTGTAATAATGGACAGTGGGTGTTGTGTAACTAACTTGGCACACTAGTTAGCCTACAAATAGAATGGGGTATAAACAGAATATTCTGTGTAGGGATAATGAATGTCTTTTTATTTTATCTGAACAGATGACCTGACATGATTCTTTTCCGCCTCTAAACTATGTTGCCATGCCTTATACATAGAATAAAAGCTATAGCCATTTATAAACTATTGTCTGGAAAAATTGGATACTTGTGCTTTCAAAAGAACAACGTAGTCAGTGTAGCACATTCAAATAATTAATATTCTCATTTAAACCAAAAAGTGCGACAGTGTAATAAAACACACAACTGCTGTTGGACTACATCCTGGGCCCAGTAGCTTCCTTGGCACTAGAGCCAATAGAAAAACAAAGGGAGAAAAATCCACCAAAATCAATCAATCAGTCAAAATTTGGAAATTCTATAGCTGGTTAAATCCAGCAACAAACCTACCTGAAAATTTTCAGAAATTTGTTAAATTTCCACTAGCCCTTCTCAGTACAAAGCTGTGAGGTGGTTGGCCAGTGCTCTGCATCTATAGAAGCCACATACTGGTGGGGGAGAAGAACCTCCTCTGAGATGGTCAAGCCACATTTAGGTAACTGCCCTACCCCACTCCAAGGACAGGGTCTGTGGCCCCATCCAGCCTGACTGCCATATAGGACTATGATTACATGGGCAATGAAGTTACTGAGCAAGAGCAGTGTCTTTCTGCCATTCAAGCAAGGGTTGGAGTTTTCCCTGGCTTAATGGTAATGATCTGAGGAGAAAATGAACAGGCCATGTCAAAGACGGTTATCCAGCTGGAAGCTGAGACATATCCCATCAGACCTAAGATCCCTCCTTGGCAATCATGGATCTGTGGAAGAGACCCGACTCCTGCTACCTCAATCAACTTTTACAGTTCTTGCCAGCTGAGCATTTTTTGTACTTAAAAAATGTTTGAGGAACCTTTCCCCAGTTCCACTTTCTCTCCTTTGCCAGGGTTACTGCAGTCCTAGGTATATAATAATGCTAATAGTAGTCCCCAGGTACCAGCAGCAAGAGATGGGTTCAGGGTGCACCATAAGACTACACAGGGAAACTCTGCACAGAACAGGTGTGAATCTCCTCTCCTTTCCCTATTGGACTGAATCAAGCATCCTCTGGGTGATTCTGCTGATGCACAGCCAGGTTAAACAGCTTTTTGGGGCGTAAAGGCTTCTCACTGCTATGTAAAATAGCTGAAGATTTTGCACATAGAAATCAATTAGAGTTGCATGGGCTCATCTGAGGGCAGAATTTAACCCAGTTTTTCTGGTTTTCAAGCAATAGCTCTGCTAAGTGCGTCCTTCAGGAATGTAATGTAATCTTGGTTGTGAAATAACACTCAAAGGATCTTTCTTTGGGCATAATTTGATTTGCAGTAATTTTCATTTCTCTCAGGCTCAGACAAAAAAAAGGTAGCCATTATTCTCAGACCCAAGCACTGTTTACAATATTTACACACACGCTCTGGACCTAATAGTTCTCGAAGTTTATAGAGATGCAATATTGATAAAGGAATTTACATAAAATGCATTCTAAATTCTTAATTTAATTTCCTTATATCTATCCATTGTTATAGTAAAATGTGGATCTTGTGAACATATGTCCTAGTGCAGCAGTATCTAATAGACAAATGTTTAATAATCTGAATATACTGTGGGTAATTAAATGGAGGATCTCACTACTATTACCATCATTACAGTACCTTTTACTCCAAAGTTAAAATGTATCTAAATCTATTTGCCTTTAAAACTGCAGGAATTCCTATTTAATTTCTTGGACCTGTGTACATATTTGTAGCCATAATCACAGTAATGTAGAATATTGGAGTACATCATAGTGCATTACTCAGGATTAATCCAGCTCTCACATCCAGATCAACTATTCAGCCTTCTGTTTTGTAGATTATCCTCATAGGAATGGTCTCACTGTCTCATAAAATAGTTTGATGGCACTGTTATTGCTTAGCTGATGGATTGAGCAAAGAGCCAGCTCTGTTTTGCAAGATGAAATATTTTCAACATGATCTAAGTTTCTACAAACACCAGTACATTAGATCAGTGTTGTAGCACAATAAGGGGAAGAGAAGGGAACATTTTCCATAGCAAGAGAAACTTAGTTATCTTGCACCTGCACTCATTCTGATCTTCACTTTTGCATTCATAACAAGCAAAATATTACATTTTATAGTCCATATCATCTTTTCTCCGATAAAATAATTTTGGAGAGCCAAAGTTAGGTGGGAAATGGATGGTACTGAGGCCACAGAATTAATTCTGCATTATGGTGTAGTTAGGGAACTTGGTAATTGGTATTTTTTGCAAGCTGAAGGGCCTCATTGTGCATGGATGTCCTGAGATGTGGTGCAGTTCTTGGGGCATCCCTGAAAGGCTGGGGCATATGTGTAGAGGGCCAGAACCTATGAAGTGCCCCCCCAAACCCTACATCTGTTATGGCAGGATGGTTCATTCTGTTCTACCTGTACCTGACCCAAGGTATTTGAAATGTTTGCAATGGGAGTTTGTGTAACTTAATACTGACAGGGTCAGCATTGTATTACACAGGGAAATCACCACGAGTTTCCAGGTAGATGAGACTACCGAAATTGAGCCTTGACTACTTCCCAGCACCTTCCCTCCCAATCTCTAGTGTCTGGAGTTCTTGCTTTTCTGGGTCAAAGGGAGGGGAGTGATACTGCCATGCTTGTATACCCCCTCTTCTGACAACTTTTGTCTTGAAGGAGCAGGGGATTCTTTGTCTCGTTCATTCTCTTTATGGGGAAAGGATTGGGCCCTATATCTATCTAATGCCTAAATATCCAAATATTTGGGGGGAAATCTAGATCAATTTAAAATGATATAACTGAACATGAGACTTTTTTTTTCTTAAAAAAATAATAATGAAAAAGGCAGTCCTTATCCAAACTGGCAAGCATGAACTTCCATGAGAAGGTTAGGGTATTCAGTCTTGTTTTTGAGGATTATGCTAAATGATGGGCTATCCAGACTTACCTTCTAGCAAACACACTTAACTGCTGCCACAGCATCAGGACACAGATGGATGGGAAAGATGACCCTGACCTCCATAAGACCCGCATTCCTGTGCCAGGATAGAAGCATGATAATCAGGAAATGATGGTTGTTAGTTACAGAAAATGCATTATTGTGAAAACCAGGAGAAAACTGCTTATGAGAGGAAGTGATTGGATTATAGGAGAATGAGAGAATAAGACTAGGTCATTTCTACTGAGTAAATTGCTGTGATTTATAAGAGAAAGGGTATAGTGATATCTTACCCATTACTGACTAGACTCATTTCACAAAAAATCCTAAATCAGAATGTGACAGTTACCGCTGAGACAACCAGTTTTTTTTAATGTTTATTATAAAACACCAAGTGTTTTTGAACCGCACATTTCCAGCGTCCAGTCTCCTTTTTCGTTTTACAGATTATCCGTAGCTATTCTTAATTTTTTATTACCGTTAAGCAAGTGTCAATTGATCATTTTCTGATTACAGTGAAAATTAAATGGGTAATGGTGTTTAGATGCATTTTATGTAAATACCTTACATACATAAAAAGTTTCCTGATAGAAATCTAAACATTTAACAAATTGAAAATTTTGTCATCAAATAGGAGATACTGCATCTCTAAATTACGCTGGATAATGTGGTAAATTACTTTTGGACTTTAAGTGAAAATATGTGGATTACATATAAATTGTGCTAAAAGTGAATTTTATTACCTATAATCCTTCCTTTATCTAACTAGTAAATCTAAATTGCTTCCTTGACTAATTTTAAAAGATAAAATATGCTCCATTTTTTGCTAGTACTGTAAATAATGGAAAATCATCTTCATAAGTTCACAGTTCTAGGGTTCTGTTAACTGAACATTTATATGGCATTTTACAGTTCTTTCAGAGACGTCTCTGTGCACCAAAATAGATAAAGGCATAATCCTCTTTTAGTAATGCAGCAATAGATAGTGCAAGCATTTTTTGCACCAAAGGAAACTTTGAGGAAAAACTATGGAGTGAACTAACATAAAAATGAGTTATAGCTCAGTTAAAAATATACATCTTTAGTAGATATATCTGAGCTACTGCAGATGAGTACATTGGCTTTAAATTCTCTCTCTCTTGTCCTCACTCTTCTCTGACTACATAGTCTAAACCTCCCACTCCACTCAAGTGATCAAACAATCCACAGCCTCCCACTAACAAACAACCATCCAAACTTTCTTATTTCCTAGCAGTAATCCACTGGATAGTAGGTAGTGATCTAATGATTCATGAAGGAGAAAAATGTATTAAAAGCAATTTTATGCAGAAATCAAAGATAAAGAGTGCTTCTTTACTATTTTATTGTTTATTGAGATTTGTATAGATTGCAGTTTTGCTGTTCTTTTTGTAGCAGGCACAAAATGGTGCTATGTAGCCAAGTTCTCAAATTATATGCAATCTAGGTGTCTCTTGCACTCATAAATCATATTTTCCCCATTCTTACCATATTCACTGTTTAAAAGTCAATATGCACAGTACCAAGAACTTCTGTGTTATAGGAAGAGTACCGAATTTTCCTCTACTTTAGAAAAATAGGTAACAAGGTTAACTCATACCACCGCATGATGTGGAAACTACTGAAAAATATTCATTTTTTAATAGTGACAATCTGGAAGTCCTACAGCTCCTTTCCCCTCTTTACTTTTCTGTATTTCATAATATGTTAAGAAAAAAAGAATGATAAAAATAAACTGGAAACCAAACATTCCTTTTATAAAACAGTACTCTATACAAAGTTAAGAATTTTCCAGTCCTGATGACATGCATATAAACTTGTGATAGTATTTTTTGTTGTTGTTCTTTATTCTGATGCATCAAACATAGTCCATCTCCCATGTGGAAATTGTATGTGCCATGTAAAAGCAGTCATATTAATTAATAGAGACTATGGTGTAGATTTACAAAACTGTTTAGGAGATTTAGACACATCTTCCATTAAGGATATGGAATTTTAATAAAAGATGTCTAAATCCCATAGAAAGCTTTATAAATCAGAAACAAAAATGTTTGTAATTCTTTAAACAGCTTGGCAAATATAATAATACAGTTACAAACGTTTCATTTTCAAATAGTAAGTGAATCTTATTTTATGGTGACTCAAGATACTGTGTTATTTGTTGTGAACTAATTCAGCTTTGATTCACATTTGTATAATTTTTTCCATAGCTCCAGATGGTCCTCCAGAAAATGTAACTGTAGTAGTTACATCTCCTCACAGTATTAACATCAGTTGGAGTGAACCTGACATTATTACTGGACCAACATTCTACCTCATAGACATTACCTCAGTAAGGCAGTTCTCATTTTTACTTGTTGGTTGATAATGATACAGATGTTTGATGGTATCTGGAATAACACGAATATAGACGTTTTATAGAAATTGCAAGACACATAAACAGGATAGGAATGAAAGCCAGAATGTCCAAAACATACATTTTCATTTGCACGGAGGAATCTAGGACATAGGAAATAAAAATGTAGTTTGAGAAAATGGTGATTTTCTTGTTTAAGAATGAGCAAATTCTTTGATATTGAAAATATTGATAGTGTGTTAATGTGAAACTTTAGGGAAACTAGCTTTGTTAAAAGGTCAGACGTTTCTTTAAGTCTTAGACAAAATAATAAGGTGTTATATTGCTTATAAACCTAACAAATTAAAGCTGAGATTCCTGGGTAATCAATGTCTGGGGTTTTAAGAAAAACATCAAATATTGCAAAAGTCACAATAAAATAGAAATGGCAACATGGGGCTCACATGCTTCTACCCTTTCTGTTTCTTCTGAGTTCACTGCTGTTGTCTAACTGGCCCAAGGCACTATGCAGGTGGTAGACCATGTATCACAGCAGCAGTGCAACGTGATGGCAGGACTTACAATAACAAGGGAAGTGTTAAAAGGAAAACAACTCTTCCTTCCTTCAGCAAAATCTTGAGCAGGTCATTAGAAGAGACTAGAGAAGAGCTGGCGCACAGTTCTTCACAATTCTGATTTCAACAAAAGAAAAGACATTTTACTTGTGAAACCCTCCTTTCACTTATGACACACTGTCATAAAATTGCACCAAAGTGATTTCTTTCACCTTTTTTCAGAAGCACCAAACCCCCAAATTCAAATATTTTGTTTGTGTGAAACATTCCACCAAGTTCTGTTCACACAATTTTCCCTTCTGCCTTTGTAATATGTGGTTGCTAAATTATGAGTGGGATGCAGTCATGTCCTAGACCATGATATATTGATCTGATACTTATACTTATAATTTATAATAAGGTACCCAATAAGCTATAATGAATGACTGGATTTCTCAAACGTGTTGGTAAATATTCAGCAGGAATTTAAAATGCTGTCTTGAATATTCAGTCAGTGACCAAACATGATTTTAAGGAAACGTTCACATTCAGAATATGTTTCAAGTTTATAGATTTAATTTTAGAGATTACTTGTAATCAAGTACTGTCTAATCAATGATCAGTAGCTACAGGTGTCATCTCCATAATGAATAGCATTATACAGACGGGTCCACTGTTACTTAAAGTCCAATAAAACTGTCATAGACTGTCTGCAGTGAAAATACTGGTATAAATTTTGGTGGCCCTCTGGGAAAATTGTGTATTTGGATTCCAAATTCCACAAACATTCTGTATTTTACAACATTACATACATTTTAGTATTTTAGTTCTCAGATCAGGCTCCTTAAGGATTTGTAAAATATTTTCACAGGGCATAATAAATTCAGATCCCTTCTCTGTCACATCATAATTTTTAAAAAGTAATACTTTCCATCCATTTATTGAAAGTCAAAGTTTCTTTTTAAATTGCCAATTTTTTTGGCTTTACTAAACAGTAAATGAGAAAATCATTCTGCTACCTTATCCCAAAATAAATCATACCATACTTTTTCTCATTCTTTGTTTTCATTGAAAGTATTTGTGGAATAAAGGACTACCCAAAATCAGTAAAGGAGACAAAATTGGACCATAAGGCTTTTGGGGAGAGTAAAAATAAAGAAAAGTTTAATGATCCTGTATTAAAACAATTGTGTTTACAGCTCTCTTGTAAATATTTAAATGCCATATAACTGATAGTGAAATATGAAAAAGTACCTCATCTCTTGATGGTCATCCCAGGAAATGAATGTCTGTTTAGTGCATCAGAAACTTTAGTTAAGGTTAACCCTCAGTGGGGATAGAGGCACATCTTTCAAAGAAAAAGTGTGCTTGAATGATCCTAATGTTTTAGCAGCTGCATTTAATACAAATTTCACTCAGTGGGAAAATTACTGTACAGCTACCTAATTTTCCTTCAAATTACACATCGAAGGAACAATAATGAAAACATCATTTAAAAATGTTATAATAGAGGGAATAGACCATAAGGAGGGGGCTTAATAAAATGTTGTTTGATTATCTACTAGAAGAGCTTCCTTTTCCACTTATCTACTTTTTCATATGATGTTTAATTAAAATTTCACAGCTAAATAAAATTAAATAGATTTGTGCATTTATGTACCAGTGCCAGTTTTGGGAAACAAACTATGTATTGGTCCTTAGGGAACGATCCAGCAAATACTTGTTCACATTAGTACATTTACACACATGAGAAGTCCCATTGACCTCAGTGGGGCTATTTGTGGGTGTAATGATGACCTGTGGTTTGTGCCCACACAAGGGAGCAAAGGGCATAAGGCAGTCTTCTTATTTCTCTGCCCAAGCTACCCAAGTTGCAAGTCCCAGTGCACAGGGGAGAACAGTCTCTGTGGAGTTGCTACTCCCCCTCCTGTACAGATGGGCATGGGCAGGAGTTGGTGGAGCCTTGACTCTTCCCCTTCAACATGTCAGCAGAGCTGGCACAGAGAGGGAAGGAAGTTGCCACAGGCAGTGGGCTGGTGCACTTGCTTCCCTGCAAAGCAAGAGGAAATATAGGAACAAATTGTGACTCTTTGAGTCACTGTTCAGTCCCTGGTCTGCTCCTTGAGCAGTCATCCTGTGCACTGCCCCTCACACAAGGCTCATGAGAACTCCATCTTCTGGATCTCCATCAGCAAACTGAATCAGGAACATACGGCTTTGCAGGATTGGGCTTTTGAAAATTGGCACTTATACAAGTGAAGCAGTGTTTTGTTTAAATGTGCCCAATTGACTATCCAAATGTGGGGTTTGGCCATCCTGCTAATGCAGCCACATTTGTCATTTGATTGAGTTTTTAGGCTAAGACAGGGTGTCTAGCTGCCCTGCCCTCGAAGGAGCCCTGGGAAAGAACTGTGGCTCTCTGAGCTCCTTTCTTGCTCACTAGGAGAAGTAACTTTAGTTTAGCCCTTTACTAGGTTCAGCTGAATTTCCTCTTCCACCAGCATAGCTTCCCAGGTCCATGTTCTACCCATCTCCTCCCCACAGGCTTGCTTGGTGGAGGAGGGCATCTGACATGCCATCCATTTCCTCTGCCCCCAGGCCTGGAGTTGTGATGAGGGGAATGATAATGTGGTTCCACATGGGTGGGGTGGGGGGGTGTTTCTTATTCTGCCTACTCCCTTGTGCTGCAATTCGGTCTTGTTAATTGGGGTCCTTGTATATTTCTGTGTGTATGTAGGTAATTATAAATAAAATACACTATATGAGTAGCATGATTTCATTGTTGTGAATTTAATGTACTCTTTTTGTGGTGTTTATTTATTTATTTAATAGGTAGATAGTGATTATTATAAAGCTTCATTCCTCAAGACAACTTACGAGGGTAAAACCCTGGAAATTTCAGATTTAAAATCATTCACAAGATATTCTGTAGTAGTCACTGCTTTTACAGGAGATGTAAATGCTGCACATATTGAAGGCAAGTCTAGTACTTCAGTAATTGTCTCCACATTTGAGGCAGGTGAGTGTTTTTTGTGTTTTTAACTTAAACATCACTGTTTTTTTTTTAAACCTATCCAGTAAAGAAAATGTAAATTCTGAATACCAGCTACACTTTCAATACATCTTTAGATTTTGCTCTCACAATAAAGATGTGTAAATTCCCCTTGATATTAAAGTGTGGTTGTAGACAACAAGTGACAGTAAAAATAAATGCTGCTAATACTTAGCACATATCATCCATCGATCTCAAAGTGCTTTACAGAGGTGGGTAATCATTATGCCTGTTTAACATTTGAGTAAGAGTGATGCACAGCTAAACAAGGAGGCCAGAGGGAGTCTGTAGTAGACAGAAATCAATCTAATGTCAAGGCAATACTGTACACTTTAAAGGGATACTCTGATTTAAGGAACAGACTGCCTCGGCAGACAAGCCATGGACCATGAAGATAGGTCTTTAAATTTCCAAATGTTCAGAGTCAACTTCTTGACTGTAACCTCACTTTTAAAAATACCTTGTTTCTTTTCTCAAGCATGTATGCTGTGTTTATTATGATCATTTATGTACTGTAAATGTCACAGTTCTTAATCTCTTCTTTTCTAATGAAGGGAAACCCATCAGGGCTGCCCAGGCTGAGGGGGGAGGGGAGAGGCAAGTGGGACAATTTGCCCCAGGCCCCACAGGGGCCCCCATGGGAATATAGTATTCTATAGTATTGCAACTTTTTTTTATGGAAGGGGCTCCCGAAATTGCTTTGCCCCGGGCCCCCTGAATCCTCTGGGCAGCCCTGAAACCCATATCGATGCATGGACCTATTTTGGACATTGTTGTGTTCTGATCAAATGAATGGTGCACTGTAGAGCGCATGGCACAGTTAGCAATTATGTGCAAGAATCAAAAGGCTAATTTAAAGATTTACTTTTTTGTGATAATGCACCTACATGAATGATAGAATAATAGTCCAGGAATAAAAATTAGCGTGATTAGCTTCATAACAAGGCAAACTGCTGCCGCTGGATTTTCATACTCAAGCTTTTTATGTGGTATCTGAGTGAGTTTAAGGCTTGGAGAAGGGCTAACTGACAGGCTCAATCCAGAGAAGACTGAGTTGATATCTGTGGGCTGGGAAGCAAGCAGAGATTATATCTGACCCCTTGATTGAGGTGTGCTTGCCTTTGGTTAATAGAGTTCACAATTTGGGGTCATGTTAGATCCCTGGCTGCTCAGGAAGCATGAGTAGGCAAAACAACTTCTTTTCTATGTGTGTCTGGAAAGAGAGGTACAGCCTTTTCTTTTAGACAGAGCAGTTGGTTAAATGATCATTGCTTTTGCACCTTGAGAATAAACTACTTGAATAAATGTGTTTTATAAAGGGCTACCTTAGGATCATTGGGAAAGAGCATGATAAATGTGCTCTGAGATCTGCTTCTGCTACCAGTAAATTTCTGGATGGAATTTAAAGTGCTGGTTTCACTATAAAACACTAAGGCCTGGTCTACACTACAATCTTAAATCGACATAAACTGGGTTAAGTCAATCTAATAATGTATGTGTCAACACTGCCGAGTCCCTTCCACCAATCTAAGTGGCCTGTAAAGTCGACTTCTGTACTCCACCTCCACGAGAGGCATAGTGCTTGATTCGACATCCATGGGTCGACATGGGGATAGTGTAGACTCTGCGTTGTGTAATTCGAATGGAGGGCACTTTCAACTCCACTGCACGTCAGCTAGGTACACACGAATCAGCCACTCCCCTGTTAAAGCCCCGAGAACATTTGAATTTTCATTACCTGTTTGCTTAGTGTGGAGAGCTCACCAGCACAGCTGATCATGGGGACTCAAGGCTGCAAATTGGCCAGCATGGAGTACATGGGAGGTGGTGGATCTTATTGCTATGTGGGGAGAAGAGTCTGCAGGCAGAGCTCTGATTCAGCAGAAGAAACGCTGACATCTATGCCAAGATTGTGCGGGGCATGGAGGAGAAGGGCTATACCAGGAACACGCAGCAGTGCCATGTGAAAATAAAAGAGCTTCAGCAAGTGTACCAGAAGACAAGGGAGGCGAACAGTCATTCTGGTTCTGCCCCACAGACGTGCCACTTTTATGAGGAGCTGCATGCAATTCTCAGCGGCAACCCCACCACTACCCCAAAATACTTCATGGATACCTCTCAGGAGCCCCGGGCGACCGATAGCAACAACAAGGAGGACATTGTTGACAAGGAGGAGGAGGAGGATGTGAGGCAGGCAAGTGGAGGATCCATTCTCCCCGACAGCCAAGAACCGTTTTTAACCCCAGAGCCCATCCCCTCACAGGACCAGTTGGTGGCGGAGTGTGATGCTGGGGAAGGCACTTCTAGTGAGTACTAATTTCCAATCAAACTGTAGGGATTACATGCTATTATTTTTTATGTTTAATCTGAACGAAAAAGTAGGTGTAGTGGGTATCGGTGGCCACTCCAGCTATGCAGAGGGTGCTCTCTGAAAAAGACTGTTTATGTGCACGGGGATGGCCTGGGAATCCTCCATGGAGATCTCTAGGAAGCGTTCATGGAGGTACTCTGCAATCCTTTGCAGAAGGTTTCTGGGAAGGACTGCTTTATTTCATCCACCAAGGTGGGATACTTTCCTGTGCCACTCCACTATTAACTCTACTGGCATCATTGCAGCACACAGCATTGCAGCATAAGGACTAGGTCTGCACCTAGACGCTTGCAGCATCTGCTCCCTTGCTGCCTCTGTTACCCTCAGGAGAGTGATATCGCATAGGGTCACCTAAGGAAAACAGGGGAAGTTTTCAATGCTAGCCCTTAAACTGCAAACAATTCAACAAGTAATCTGCCCCCCATTTGGTGAAATATGGATCACACAACCACATTTTCCCAAATGGCCCATAGTTCTGGTTGGAAGGGATCACCATGTATTGCAAGCAGCATTGAAAAAATAAGGGGGGGGGGAGGTGGCGGTTTCCTGTTTGTCTCCCTTCCCCCCAACCCGGTGCCGCTTTTGTAACAAACAAACAATTTGGGGGACTTTACACTGGTGCCTGTCCTCAAGCACCATCCAGGTTGCTAGGAGAAAGGGGGCTTTTCTCAAGTTCCAACCTGTGATCCCAAGGATGTCTTCACAAAAGCAGCAGCATAAGACCCCTCACCGCATGCCTCGTGGCTTTACTCACCAGGGCTGGAGTGGCAAACCGACCCTTGTAATAGCCAGCGATTACATTGTGGCTTGCAGTGAAGTGTATTGAGGGGTGATTTTTTTATTTAAAAAATTAACCTTGCACCAGAAACAATGTATGCACTGTCAGTGCTACCCTTGTGCTTTGCATTCCTTGCAGCCGAAACCTTGTCTGTCAGCGCATCCTCCACACTGGGACACAGGCGCCGACTTTCTAATGTGCCGGGGTGTGCTCAACGCCTCGCTGTGCCCCAGACCCCGCCCTCATCTCACTCCTTCCTCCAAGGCCATGCCCCCCACCTCTTACCGGCCCCGCTCCACCTCCGCCCCGCCTCTTCCCATCCCCGCTCCATCCCCTCCCCCACAGAGCACCACGTCCTCGCTCCTCCCTCTCCCTCCCAAACCCTCCTGCATGCCACAAAACAGCTGATTGCGGCAGGCAGGAGGTGTGGGGAGAGAGGGAGAGGTGCTGATCAGTGGGGCCTGCCAGTGGGTGGCAATAGGGTGACCAGATAGCAAATGTGAAAAATCGGGACGGGGGTGGGGGGTAATAGGAGCCTATATAAGAAAAAGACCCAAAAATCGGGACTGTCCCTACAAAATCGGGACATCTGGTCACCCTAGGTGGCAAACACTGGGGAGCTGCGAGGGAGCTGATAGGGGAGTTGCTGGTGGGTGCTCAGCACCCACCATTTTTTCCCCCTGGGTGCTCCAGCCCCAGAGAACCCATGGAGTCGGCACCGGGACAGAGACTTTCCCAGATTAGAAGGCAGAAAAAGAAGACTCAGGAGGACATGTTCAATGAGTTAATGCACGCCTCCGAGAGTGACAAGATGGAGCTCAGAGCATGGAGGATTATACTGTCCGAGAACCTGGACATGGACACTGAGGACAGGAGAACATGCAGGGAACAAGAGTGTGCCATGCAGGAAAAGATTCTGCAGATTATGAAGGAGCAATCAGACATGTTGAGGCAGCTGGATGCTAGTCCCTCTGCAGCCTATGCTGAACCTACTGCCTATCACCCAGTTCTACATCCTCCTCCCCTAAACGTCCTATGAGGCGGGGGAGAGGGGGAGTTCGGTATCCCTTGCACTCCACACCAGTGGAGGGTACAAGGACCAGAAGGTGCCCATTCCCACACCTTTGCTTGTTACTGCAGTGCATCTGTAAGCAAGCTGTCCTTGTTTCTCCCCCCACAGTGTTATCAGCCCTTTTGCCCTAGGTTATCTTACTTTTCTTTGCTGTCTCTGTGTGTTTGTGTGCATAATAAAACTTAATGGATTGAGGAGAAAAGGCTCTTTATTCATTCAACACCCGGTGGTTGGTGCGGGTGGAGTTTACAGGGGAGAAAATGCAATGGAGGGGACAGTTTAGTAAGGAACACCACAGATAAGTGTCATATTACTCTGGCTCATTGCTGAAACTGGTTTTGAAAGCCTCACAGAGACACAGAGCCCCTCAATGTGCTCTTCTTATTGCCCTGGTGTCTGGCTGCTCAAAATTGGCTGCAAGGTGATCTGCCTCAACCCCTCCACCCCAGAGGAAACTTTTCTCCCCTTGTTTCACAGATATTATGGAGCACACAGCAGGCAGCAATAACAGTGGGGATTTTGCTTTCACTGAGGTCTAACCTAGTAAGCAAACTGTGCCAGTTAACTTTTAAACATCCAAAGTCACGTTCCACCACCATTCTACACTTGCTCAGCCTATGGTTGAACCGGTCCTTACTGCTGTCCAGGCTGCCTGTGTATGGCTTCATGAGCCATGGGAGCAAGGGATAGTCTGGGTCTCCCAGGATCACGATTGGCATTTCAACATCACCAATGGTTATTTTGCAGTCTGGAAAGAAAATCCCTGCTTGCAGCTTTCTGAACAGACTGTGTTCCTAAAGATGCATGCACCTTTCCCAACCAGCCCACATTGATGTCAGCGAAATGGCCCCTGTGATCCACCAGTGCTTGCAACATCATTGAGAAGTACCCCTTTCGGTTTATGTACTCTTTGGCAAGGTGGTCTGGTGCCAAGATAGGGATATGTGTTCTGTCTATCGCCCCACCTCAGTTAGGGTACCCCATCACAGCAAAACCATCCACTATGTCCTGCATGTTGCCCAGAGTCACTATCCTTCTTAGCAGAAATCTGTTAATGGCCCTGCAAACTTGGATCACAACAGATCCCACGGTAGATTTACCCACTCTAAATTGATGCCCCACTGACCGGTAGCAGTGTGGCATTGCAAGTTTCCACAGAACTATCGCCACTTGCTTCTCCACTGTCAGAGCAGCTCTAATTTTAGTATTGCTGCACTTTGGGGGTGGGGAAAGCTTTTCACACAGTTCCTGGAAAGTGACCTTACGCATTCTAGTTCTGCAGCCACTGCTCGTCATCCTATAGCTGCATAACGATGCACCAGTCAGTGCTTGTTTCCCAGACCCAGAAATGACACTCAATTGTGTCAAAGTGATGCGTGACTGTCACCAGCAACTGCGAATTGCTCCACTCTGACTTCCAGCAGGGCTGCTAGCGTGGCATCACATTGTTTCACATGGCAGCTCCTGTATCAGCTGTGTAAATACTACAGGATAAGGCGTGAGGTGTTTGTAATGCTCACAACAACAGTGTGCAGCTGAGCGGGGTCCATGCTTATCTTGCCATGGCGTCTGCGTGGGTGACCCAGGCTTATGGCAAAAGGCTTGGTTTGTTTGCTGTTGATTTCAGGAAGGGAGGGACAGAGGGAGGGAGGTAAGTGCATCATGGAAGGCTAATGCCGTGTTCCCATAACCATCTGTGCTAATGTTTTGGTCCCATAAGGCATTGCAAACCCAACCCAAAATTCCACTCGGCTACATGCACTGTGGGATAGCTACCCACAGTACAGTGCTCTGTGCAAGCCCGCTAGAGAGGATGCACTCTTCCGACACAATGAGCTAGTATGGACACACAAGATCGACTTGCTTAAATCAGAGGCTCAGTGTCGACATAAAGTCGGCTTAACTTTGTAGTGTCAACATGGCCTATGTACTGTATGTTTGGGCATCAGTTAATGGAAAGACTGCTCCTCTCCTTGGATAATGCTGTGTCAGCTCTGAGCAGCGGAGGCTCTTGATATAACAGTCCCCTTGTTTAAAAGTAGTGAGGGTGGTTGGTGCTGGCAGAGTGTTTTTAGAAAGGGATCCCCAACTCAGACACCTCTTCCTATGGTCTAACAAAACAAGGATTTGTTACATTCAGAGCATACTTCAAGGCCGATGCTTTCCATGGGGCTTTCCAGGAAGCAGTGGATTTAGAGATGAGGTTGGTTACTTATGATCTGATGCTAATTATGCTGGGCTTCTAATCATTATGTTTGCTATTTGTGAGATTAATATTATAATATTTGCACAGGCACTTAGTGGTTGGGATAATAGTTTTTAATTAAACAAATTAAATAGCAGTGATATAATCCTGGTGTTCAAAAGATTATTTTTTCTTAAACCTTTCTGTATTTTAATCTATAAATAAATAATAACAGTAATAAATTCCAATTCAAAGTGAATTTCTGAAATATTTCCTTTAGTGCCTAAAGACCCACCTAACAACGTAACATTTCAGAAGATACCAGATGAAGTAACAAAATTCCAAGTGACGTTTGTGCCATCATCTGAACCCAATGGAAATATTCAAGTATATCAAGCCATGATTTACAAAGAAGATGACCCTGCTGTTGTCCAGATTCATAATCTAAGTGTCATTGACAAAACAAATAAATCGGTCACTGCAGTGATAGAGGGGCTAAAAGGAGGACATACATATAATGTCATTGTAAGGTTTAATACAATTTTCTGTCTTTGATGTCAACAGATTTGCCTAATTAAGGAGTGCAGGCCTAAGCCCAGAATATGGTTTTGTTCCCTGGCATTGTAACCAAGGGTATAAAGTGCATGGGGAAAATCAGTAGTAAATGAAGACACTTAGCATCTCACTGGTGGTAGCTAGCACCTTGTAGGACTAGATCCTAGATCACCAGGCCAGTGTTTGGCACATCACTTTCAACTACAACATTTTGTTCTATCTTTTGATACCCAAAGTCGTCTTCTGTTTTATTGTTTTTTGTTTCAGCCTCAAGGCCCAATCCTACAAGCAGTAACTACAGATGAATCTTGATTACTGCTTGTAGTTCCACCATTAAAGCAATCAGGGATTAGGACAGGAGGGGAGGAGAAGCAAGAGTAAAAATCCTCCTGGAAATAATTGTTTGGAGATTGGATTTGTTTCCCCACCCCCTTTGTTTTACCTATGTTACACCAGGGACTGAAATATTGTTTTCCTTGAGATTTTAGAGATGAGTGTAGTGAATGGCATAAAGAATGACCTAGGAAGGTACTGGAGAGAGTCCCTCTGGAAATTATTATTATTATTATTTTTTAGAGTAAATCTACTCCGTTTCTGATTTCGCCAATATCAAAGGAGTTTGGAAGAATAAACAAATTAGGCCAAATTCTTCTTTCAGTTGCACTGGTGTAAATCCAAACAATCTCAGGTATAACTGAAGGCAGGATTTGGTCCACTGGTATGTAGTTTAAAAAAATGTAGGAGAATCAGATAATAGTATCCAATTTACTTTTGTATATTGTCTTTCATACAAAAGTACTACAAAATGCTCCACGAGTGCTTTCAAGCTTTACACGCAGATAGAATTATTTTAATCATCATTTATCATACAGTCGGCATCTATATATGCAGAGGGACAGGAGTCAAGAGGGATATAAAGACCATGTTACAGGAGAGAAACTAAGAGGCTCAGGGAATTGGATTTCATGATAGGCTAGGAAAATGAGATAAGTCTTGAATTTGGATTTAAAGAGAGTCAGGGAATGAGTTAGAGGTAGAGAGACATGTTAATGTAATAGTGTGTTCCCGAGAGTACAAGGGAATGGAGCTAGAGATAAATTAGTAGGGAAATTTTAATACATATTTTAAATAATGTTGCTCCATATATACATAAATTAAGGTTCTAGTTCCATCTTGAATTAGAAAAACATGAATGACAAACTCAAGGTTTATGGTATCACTGAAACCCTTCAGTCTTGTCATGTTATGTATATATAAAATTGCAGGATTCATTATTCCTTTAAAAAGTATATATTTAGCTTTTGCTGATTTAAGTTTAACACAAATGATCAATAAAATAAAGTGTTCATTTCTTTTTAAGGTGTATGCAATAAATGGTGCTGGTGCAGGGCCAAAAATCCAACTAAAAATAACTATGGATATTAAAGGTATGCATAATAAAATGCTTTTTTGCTGAGATCCCTATAAGCTTCAAAGAAATTACTGTAAATTTGTGCATATATATGTGTGTCCCTCCTGTCCATTGTCTAGAAGAATCAGCATAAGGCTGAGAGCCTTGAATGCCTGAGTTCTATTCCTGCCTCTGCTACAGATTAATGATATTTGGTACTTATATAGGACCTTGCTGATAATGAATTGTACCATACACCATAATTAGCACCAATAAAACAGTGGGAGTACTTATGGAATAAGGTACTACTCAATGTGAAAAAGGTTATCAGAATTTACCATTTTACAAATATTTAGGTATGTCTCACCATGACATTTAGAAATAGAGTATAGAACCATATGTACTTATACCATACTACATCCATGAGAAGCAAATAAAATCATTGGCCCCATTTCACAGATAGAAAAACTGAGGCTCAGATTTTTTTTTTAAATGGTGTTCTTTCTTTGTCAAACCAGTCACTTGGACTCTGATCCTGCAAAGGGGGAAATCTGTGAGGGCAGACTCTCACCCTCTCAAGGACCCCATTGCAGGATTGAGGCCTTAATTAGGACATTAGGCTGTCCACCAAAATGTCCCAAATAAGAGGATTACATGCTTGAACTAAGTGATTTTAATTAATAAATTAGAAAGCAAAACATTTTGGCTTGTCTTTGTTTAAAAACAGAACCACCAAGACCTAATAAGAAACCAACACCAGTTTTTGATACTAGCGGGACACTACTTGTTACTGCTACAACAATTACTATCAGAATGCCAGTATGCTACTATAATGATGATCATGGACCTATCAAGAAGATACAAGTTCTTGTTGCAGAAGCAGGAGGTAGAGAAAGCTATTATGTTCTTTTGCTAATTGTTCATACTTTTTAGTTTCTTGCATTTGACCTATTACTCTGTTCCCTTATTGCCTTTATTGGGTGATGCAGAATTAATGTTGGGAGACATTTGACCAGTTACTGTAGCAATTGTAATACTCCCAGGAGTCATTCATGTGATACCGCTGTGCTACCATTCCTTGCTCCAAAGCTTAAGCATTATCTATGTGCTGTAAACTGGATTCAGGGAACCTGCCCAAGGCATTCACCCTTTTCAGCTAACAAATAGTGCTGTTGGTGGTTGAAGTCGCCCGTACACTATTTTTCATTATCTTTTTCAGGGTTTATCCGTTTTCTTTGTTCATGATTTTCTTTTAAAAATAACTCATGCGGTATCTGTGAAATTAAAATATCTGAAAGTTCCATTTAGCAGTTTTTCCTTCTGTAGCCATTTTGTTGCTGTTAGAAGAATGCAACCATGATAACATTACTGTTTTACTGCAGGAATGAGTCATGTAAATTTCTTTTGTGCTGTACGGGTCAAATTCTGAACTGATGAGCTTTTGCTAATGAATATTTGCTCATATGAGCAGTCCCATGGGTCTAGTGTATACCATTCACTAAAATGGTCACTTATTGAGGTGTTTAAATGGGAGCTATTGGGTGCTATGCACTTCTGAAAATAGAACCATTGGTTTACCTTCTTTAACTGCAATCTGTTTAGGATATAAATGATTTATAATTAATTTCTTCTGACAATAGTTCAGCATGATGGAAATGTTACTAAGTGGTATGATGCCTACTTCAAAAAACCCAGGCCATATTTTACAAATGAAGGCTTTCCAAACCCACCCTGTACAGAAGGAAAGGAAGGACTGAGTGGCAAAGAAGATATGTATGTTATAGGTGCTGATACTACATGCATGATACCTGGGAGTGAAGATAAAATCTGCAACGGCCCCCTAAAGCCAAGAAAGCAGTACTTGTAAGTATACGATTCAAGTTCTATGTCAATGTTTGAGCAATAAAAATGTTTAAACAAAAATATGCATTTATATGAGTGACGATCAGACAAAATGCAAAGGTAATATATTTTTAAAGCCCATTTAAGAAAAGGCGAGGTCTAACGTGATTTCACAAGACTTCACAAGAAAACATAGGCACACTGGGACTTTCTGTATGAAGTGGTTTTAAATCTTCATATACTTAATTTTTTTTTTTACTGGACTGTAAATATGAGAGAACTGACAGGTAGTTTTTTTTGTTTTAGTAACATAAGATTGTCCTTCCTGAATTCAGCAAGTCTAAATGCAAGATTAAGTACTATCCATTTCATGCATCTACAGTATACTTTTAACATGCTGACATTAGGATTCTTAAATTATATGGTGTATACTGATTGCATGTAATTTTCCCCCAAAATGAAGAATAATTACTAGTTCTTCACTGAATGAATGATTTTAAAACTTGTATGTAAATATTTGATTCCTGACTTTATTAAATTATTTTACAGATTTAAGTTCAGAGCAACAAATGTTAAAGGCCAGTTTACAGATTCAGACTATTCTGACCCTGTCAAAACTTTAGGTAAGGAGAATTTAATTTATTAAAGACATTTTAATATTTCAAAAGCATCTGATAAGTTATGAAATTGCTCCCTCTCCTTTTTACCAGATCATTCTCTTCTAAGTTAATAACTACAACTTTTGGTGGGCCTAGCTTAACCTCAAGAGTGCACAGTCTCGAAATCCATTCCTCCCACAGGAAGCCCTGCAAAGCCAGGCCACTGCATGATCTTCTTCACGAGTCTCAGCTGTGATCCATTCCTTCCGCTGGCAGCCATCCTATGGACATGATCCCTTGACCCTTCAGGTTCAAACAATCAATCGTAAACTGGCTGGCAAGGTTCTGCTTAAACCAGTGGTGTTCTAACGTAGAACCTAGACAATTCTGGATGTCACTAACCAATGGCATAATTGTTGTTGGAACCCCAAACCGCACATAGCTGCTGCAGCAGCTGCACTGATCCTGAGGGAGTGAGATTCAAACTTCTTTGGGCAGATCCCTTGAAATTGATAGGTTTCTTTAACAAAACAGTAACCCGATACTTAGGAAACTATCATCCTCAAGAAGTTTTTAATAAACAATGGTGTCTATTTAACATTCAGTGAATGCCTTAATATTGTGTATCTAAGACCACTAATATCTGGGAATTTTCATATAAAGTGTTGCTGGGTTAGTTTCAAATATTCCACAAGCCACATCCTCTCTGGGGGTAAATTGATGTGGCTTCATTGCCATAAATGCCTCCTATTTTACTAAGTCTTCAGAATGAAATACCTGGAACTCGATTTTCTTTGAGAGGCCCATGGGATGAAGGCAGAGGGACCACGAAGCTCAGTGAGATTGGTCTCACCAAGTTTCTAGGTAATCAATAGGTTGTGAAGGTTTGTAGAGTAGACAAGGAGAGCTGCTTCCCAGTCTCATGGATCCTGGGGCTCCACAGGTAAGGGAAGGCCTATCCCCATGAAAGCGGAGTGTTTCCATGGGGAAGACAGAACAGACTCATCCATGCTACTTTACTTGCCTACCCTTTAAGCATGGCCTTGTGCAGTGATCTATTGTGTTGCCACAAGGTGCATGGTGGCAGCTGCAGAGGAGGACCCAGCAGGAGTTAATGCCACTTGGGTTTACATGGTTTCAGCCGCTGGTGAGGTTGCAGCTGGTCCTCTGCTCAACCCACTCTTGGTCCCACTTCTAAAATCCTGTGATGTCCAGCCACTGCTGAGCTTTGGCAGAAGAGCTCCTACTCACTGCCAGGAAAAAGGGAGCACAGGGCTCCCTCATCCAACTCTGCCTCCTCCCACCCTCACCCAAGAAATGTGCCGGTTTTGATTCCCTTTTGTTTGCAAAAGTAGTCAAAGGACAATCCAGTCTTCAGATATTTGTTCTTCAAATGTTCAATCCCAGTATTGCCCACTTTCTGTTGCAGGTGAGGGACTGTCAGAAAGAGCTGTAGAAATAATACTTGCAGTTACTTTGTGTATACTTTCCATAATTCTTCTTGTGGTGGCTATCTATGCTTTTGCAAGGTAAGACTTCTTTGTATATAAAATACTACACATTATTTTTAATCTGTATGCAAATATGTCTTTAAATATAGAAGAAATAAATCCTATACATAGAACCGTATGCAACCAGCCTGATACCTTAAATTATGTTGCATTTTAATACCATTTTTTATCATATAGAAACTTACTATCATCCATTACAGAGGGTGAGCAGCTTGATTTGAAGTCAGCCAGTCAAAGTCTGTTCTCAGTGACACTGGTGAAATTTCAGAGTAGCTCCATTGAAGTGAATGGAGCTAGTCTGAAATTACATCTGTATTTGAGAAATCAGAAATCTGATGCTAGGTGAGGTAACCTATAGCATGCATAGATGCCTAGTTGAAGAAGTAGGCAAACTGCTGCATGAATGACATTCATTCGCTCACTAGCCACAGATGCTATGCTGCCACTGCTAGTTCACTAGGGTTTTGAAGGAAAATAAGAAATGGAGGTCAAGAGTTTACACAGGAGTTAAGTATAAGGGCTTGATTCTCTTTTCACACACATTTTACACTAGTATAACTCCATTGTATTCAGTTGAATTACTTCTGGTTTATACTAGTGAAAATGAGAGGAAAATCAGGTCCAAGTAGTAATAATTTCTGGGGCAAACTTTCTCCATTGTCAGAATTTTGCCAGTAAAATGGGGCTAAAATGCATGCTGACAAAAATGTTCAAAGAGATGGGTAAAATGTTATTGGTTTTGCTGTTATCATCACAGAATGAAAAATGGAAGTATCGTTTTTTTAGAGCTTCTCTACTCCTAGTTCTATGAAAGGCTGAATCTATCCTTCTATCCTGCTAATTCACATGTAATTAATAAATCATTTGAATATTCTTTTTCATTCACTCTCAACTTTGTTATGATCTTTGGTTTAGAATCCGACAAAAGCAAAAAGAGGGAGGCACCTACTCCCCGCGGGATGCAGAAATTATTGACACTAAATTCAAGCTGGATCAGTTGATCACAGTGGCAGACCTGGAACTGAAGGATGAGAGATTTACTCGGTAAAAATACTCCTTAGGCGAAGCAGTAGTCTGTAGCCATGACCCCTTTCTGACCTTTGCTTGTTTCGAAGTGTTTGTGGTGTTCTTATTTACACAGGCCACTAAGATCCTCTTTCAAAGGATGCCCTCCATCCTCCAGACACTGCTGACTAGTGTGTAGAATATTACTTAATCTTCACATCTTTTATAATAAGATAAAGATCTAAGTTACAATAAGATAAAGCTCTAAGTGCAAATCATCCTTTAATTCTTATGGCAAAAGGAGCTGCATTTTTTAAACATAGGAAATTGTTCAGTATTTTGATGGCTCGCTATTTTCTGTGGATTGCAAACTTATAAACATCCCAAAAGATCCAAACCCTTAAATCGTGTCTTTTTCAGCTCAATCAGTAACAATATAGTCATTGTTTAATTGACATTTAGAAAATGTTTTAGCACAAGGGGACCAATTTTGCAGCTGAGTTTCTCTGGAACATGAAAACACTCTGGCCACACTCATACACCCAGGCCCTGGAGAAGCATGTGGTAGCCTTAGGCCACTCAGCTGGCCAGATTTCCTGGGTTTTCACAGAGTGACAGAGACTCTTGCCCCATGTATTGTTTGGAAGGGAAGCTGTACTGTGTTCCTTTTGGTAGTCAGAAATTGCCACATTATTCCACGGATAGATATCATGAAAATTCTAAACAGTGGGCTATGACTGAATTAGCAAATGATGGATAAATATTATTGACATGGCTGTATTTTCCCTACTCTGTCACACAGCACATAGAATAGGAAGCACTATGGCAGGCAATCTCCTTAAAGATTGGAAGCCTAAGATTACTTTGCCCTAGGAGTTAAGCACCCTACTGTTGCAGACTATGGGTAGCTTGAAGAAACCTGTAACTATTGACCTGTTTGTTTTGAATGTTTTATGGCTATGTGTATGGTGCAGAAAAGGATTATTGCATTATAAAGCTGTTCAAATGTGTGCATTTAAGAGTGGCCACTTACAGCACATGGTCAAACATACTGAGAATCCTCTGATGCAAATGAATGCAATGCATCCTGTGTGGACATTGTGCCACATTTTGTTTAGATAATATAGTCTAATACCCATTAACAGTAATGGAGATGTTCACTTTCAACCAACAGACACAATCCTTTGCACCTTTGTAGCTGTAAACCAGATAAATGTCCCTGTCCATTAACTTGAGAAGTTTCCTATAGCGTATACATTTGAAAATTGCTAACAAAATAGAACAATATCATTTTTGTTTGTGTACTAAATTATTAATGGATTTTACTTCCAGATACTCCTCATTTTTCTTTAGACGCAAGGAGATATTTGTCATCCAGTAAGTTATTGAACTGTTGACGAGACCTGGTGTGATTTCCATAATGTTGTGTAACTTGTGTGCTACTATACTTTGTTGATCTTTGTCCAAAGTAAATCATTTTCCAAAGTGCGTTCTTGGTAATGAAAATGAAATTAGTATTAGCAACTTATATTATTATATGGTAATACTAATGACAAATGATTGTATTTGTCAACATGTCATCTTTGATCTCAGTGATTAATGTTAAGACACTATAATTCTGCAACTATTTTAAAACAAAGGAGAGCTATTTTTAACAGAAATTATGTCAGGCTCACTTCAGCAGACATACAAAAAGTAGACAGCACAATTAGAGTGCATGTACCAATTGGAGTTCAAAACTGGGCCTTACACTTTTCTTCAAGAGTTAGAATTTGCATATTCAGGAGAAATCCTTTTGTTTCTCCTCAGCTGCCTGTTGTACTGTCCATGCTACCAGAAAGCATCTCATTAAGATCTCAGCAAAAATTCCAGGGGGTCAAATCCCATGTTACATGGGAGAATTCCACTTTACCACTGCTCTGTCTAAATTATGACCAGTTTGGATTTATACAACATCAATCCCTGCAGGTTAGGCTACAAAATTGTAATATTTCATATTTATGTGCAGTTTGTTAAGTGATTTATACACAGCAAGGACTTTACTGAGCAGTAATTCAGCAGTTTTAGTTACCCTACCAATTACTTTACTTTGAGGCACTTTCACTTTCTGGCTCTGATATAATAAGAGTGATTTGGAATGTAAAGGTGTCATGTTAGCATGTTAAATTCTTATGCTACATGCTGATGATTACACTGAAACCATCACAAATGAATTGCACGTTCAAAATATAGTACTACTTCCTATTTCTGCATTTCCTCACTGTCATGAGTTGGTTGAATTATTACATGCATAGAGTCAATTGCCCAGCCACAGCTTTTCAAATAGTGAGGGAATACTTAGCAAGTTACTGCCAGATTCTAGATCATCTGTGCCATCTAAGCAGCATAAATGAGCCTGTTTGGGGAAGGAATCTGTCCATATGTATCATTTCCTGCTTATCCTATATCATGTGAAGCACTAAAAACAATGTTCTGTAACTGGCTAGCTAAGTATTCCCTCACCATGGGGGAAATTTTAGTTGAGGTACAGCCAGTTCCTGCATCAACCACCTATCCCCACTCTACTCTCCCCCACATTTCTGTGTAGGGGTGTGTTGCACAACACAGTGCTCTGCCATTTGTCAGCTGGCTTACCATACATCATTTGCTGTAAGTTAGCATAGAAGATTATTTGGCTCAGATAGTCAGGAACATGCAGAACAGGTCCACATAATAAGTAGGACAGGGTGGGAAGTGGTTTTCCCATCTTGTGAAAATTTCCAAGATTTCAAAACTTTTTCCCACACAGAATTGGGCCAAAAAGTCAAAATCTCAAAAAAAAATTGTGAACCAACAAACTGAAAAAAAAATTGGTTTTGGCAAATCAAAGTATTTCATTTCATTTTCAACCTTTTCAAAAACATTTTTAATATTAATTAAGTTACATTTCATAACAAAGTTGTTTCAAACAAATAAAAAACCAAAGAAAAAAAACCCAAACCTTTTCAACAAGCAGTTTAGGTTTAGACGAATAAACATTTTTCAGAAAAAAAAGTTGCCTCAGAAAAGTTCCCGACTAGCTCTAACACCAACTCACTAATATCTGATACATATGTGCCAGATTCTTGCAACTTGCTGGAAGGGAATAATTGCTAAAATACTAACATGAGAGAGTAGTGGAGACACGTTAATCTCCTTAGGTGATATGAGACAGGCAAGAACTGAACAGATCAAGGATTGTTTAAATCAAATCAAGCCCATCTATCTAGGTAGAAATATGGAATGGATTCACCAAGCACATGTACACCAGTGATTATATCAATTCCTGTTTATTGCAGCCTTTCACAACCTGGCCCAATCCACTTATCTGGATGCATACCAATCTGCTGTGAGTGGAACCAACCTCCAGATCCTATGTGCTTTTAAACCCCATGGGTCTGGCTAGTGACAGGTCATTGTTCATAGCTCTGGGTCTGACACCCTACTTGGGCAGTGGGACTCTCTAGCCCAGCTGCCTTAGGCCCCAAAACGAGTGTCACAGTCCTCCTGAGCCCCCAGTTGCTTATACACATTCCCTCAGTGTTCCACTTTATTGTGGGTGCTTTGAACTTCTTGATTAACCCCTTCAAGGACAACATGGCAGGCAAGCAAGGAATGCAGACTTAGCAAAGGAATTTCATAACCACAGGCATTTTACTCTTGGAAGCACTTGAAGTCCCACTTAAATATAATCTCTGACCCTTTTGGTCATTTATCCAGGCTGAGAAACTTCAGCCCAGCTCCCATCCAAACTCCTGTGTAGAGAGTTCATTGTTCTTGTGGATGGATTTGGTAGTGGAGCGACATTTAGAGTTGATGGCACTCGATTTCTCTGTACCGGCTTCTCAGGAGGAGCCCAAGGAACAAAATGACATTCACAAACAAGATGGCATTTACAATTTGACACAGACATATCCCCAATTTATCACACAGACCATGTAGCATTTTCTCATAATCAACACTGTCATGATCTACAGTCCAGTTAAAGGGACAGATTCTCTCTTCATTTACAGTCCCTTCACATGTCTGTGATGCAAAGGGGCTGTAAAGCTGGTGAAAATGGGCCTTAGGGAATACTACCATCCCTTGCACCTCCTGGCATAGAGGTATGCCAGATATTTTCTGAGGAAAGGAGAGGACATGGCCTGAGAATATTGTGCTGTAGCTATTCTAGGTTGCAGAAGGGCCCTGAGGGGCTGTTACAACTGAGTGTAAATTATAGTACCCATGAGGCACAGTCAAGAATAGAGCAGATCCAGAGATAGCTTTAAGCCACCATTGTCCCATCCTTACTCCTCCATTTCTGCACAGGAACAGAGAAGCTGGCCTACAAAGAATTATTTTATTTGTTTACCAGTAGATACAATATTACTGGTTCTGGCAGTATTCTCCATTATACAAGTAGGGATTACCTACTTAAACTAATAAAATCTTGTTTATCTACCAGTAAAAAGATTAAAAACAAAATATTTTAACTGCACTCACCGTCCATGCAAACCATATGTAAGAGGAGTGTGAGCATCAGGGCTATAAGATCTGCTGAGGCATCCACTGAAAGTACTGTATGAACATTGCACATTCAAAGGATGTTCTACCCAACAATGCCTCATATGATAGCTACCTTATGTGTGGCAGCCACCTTGCCACAACTGACATTGGCACACAACTCACACAGAATGATCTAGACACTACAAATATGCAACAAAAGGCCATTTCTCCACCCACAAAGTACCTGGCTGACATTTACCCAGACAGTTTGGATTGACAGGAGTAGGTTAAGTCCCTGTCTGCACTGACGTGTGCATAAGACAGGAGGGTCTTCATATTAGCAGCAGTTCCTGGATGCATTGTGCCTGAGGCAGATATAATGCTTTGTGACATGATGGGGGGACATACATACAACAGCAGCATCTGTTATATCCTTTAAAAGGTAGGGAGCACACTCTCCCTTTCCCCATGCCAGCCAAGCTCTTCTGTGGATGGGGTTGAGGGGAAGAGGGCAGGGTGCTATCATTGCCCCTGCATGCCCCCTATAGAGGTTCTAGTGCAAGTGTCAGTGCTACATTCCCTCAGTTTAGTGTACCAAGGACCAAGATTTTGCCCGGCCACTGTGCAGTTGAAGGGAATGGGCCTGGTATCCTCTCCCTATCGCCCTTGATCACTCGTGAAGGGTTAAGCCCTATGTAGGTCTCAATTAACTTGTTAAAAATTAGTTCCTTGGTTATTCCTAGCAAGTGTCAATGGTGCTTATGAATTAAGCCTTTAGTCTACATATTCATTTCTGTAGTTTTCCATTTGGACAAAGTTGTATTTCCCTATAGATTTCAACTGATTGGCCCAGAGAGAAAGCTGAGTCTGTGTTACTATATGGTCTTCAGTTACCATTGCCAACACAAATCAGAAGTAATCTGAGTGGGATTCAGATTTTTGATAGACTTCAAAAACTCCCATATGTGAAACAATACACTGTTTAAAAAGAAAATCTGATTTAAAGCAACAAAGTGTTCTTTAGCTTAGAGAATGCTTTATCCCCCCCCCCCCCTTTAAATGGAAATGTTAAATTATCCTGTTGAAATAGGGGAAGTTGTACTTTACAGTCTGAGTATGAGTTGTACTTTTCATGATCTAATGATATTTGCATCATGATGTTTCATACAGAAGACTGGAAAGTGAGTGAAGCTGTGCTGTTGGCAGACTACTGTTTGTACATTAAAAAATACTGTAAGACAATAAAACTGTTACCTCTTATCACAATGTTTCATTTTAGAAATATTGAAAAAAATATGCTGCATTTTTAAACCCCTGAAAGTTTGCAACCAAGCATCATTGTGCTATGCAAAACTCCATTGAGCTATTTTGGATGAGAACACTCATCATGGCACAGTTCACTCATTGTAAAGCTCCTTATACAACAAGGTTTCAAAAGCCTCAGATCGCGCATCTAAATCCACATATGGGTACTAAATGGCCTGATTTTCACAGGTGCTGAGCCCCTCTGAATCACCCCTGTAGGGAGTTGTGAAAGCTTAGTACTTCTGAAAATCAGACCCTTCATGTAGGTGTCTAATTATGGAGGTAAGTGTCAAACTTTAGGCACCCAATTAGCCCAACTACTTAAAAAACATTTAGTGCTTGTGAAAGGTGCCAGGTGACCAGCACTGAACATAGAAATCTTCTGGTTAGTAACACATACGTGAGCTAGAAGGAAGCACATTTTGTCTCCATGCCTATTCAGTGCTTGACTTCCCCTGTTGCACTGCCAATGAGAGTGCAAAGGATGTTGGTGATGGTCCTGTCTCAATGTTCTTGGCTGTAGGGTTCACTATATCTTGACCACAAAGGCGCTAAGTGTCATATTCTGAATGCTCATGTGATGTGTAAATTGAATATCAAATCCCAAATGACAGAACTACCAGTGCAGTAAGTTATTAAACACAAGCAGTTTCAGGGAAGTGAAGACAACAGAATCTCAGAAATTATTGGGATGTCGATTGGGACGTGACTTTTATTCCGTTGCTCCAAGGGGAAGACAGGGAATTCAAATATAAAGGAAGAGCAAGCAGCATTTTTTGCAGAATCTGCTAAGAATTTTGTCCAATAAAATTATAAAGAGAGAGGAGTGCCTGATGTTCAAAGGCTAGCACATGTGTGCCCAATACATTGGCGTAATTATTTAAGAATAGTCTCTCCTTGAGAAAACTTGAGCTCCGTGAAGCTGCCAAGGTTTATGTGCCAAGTAAATGCAGGCTTGGCCATAGAGTAAGACCAGAATACAATATGTGCTAGTGAAACTTGTGAACAGACTCCACAGGGAAATGCTGTGTTCATGCAGAAGGTGTCAATGCTTTATCATTCTTCACTCCCTTTTTCTGCCCCTTCTGGATTTGTACCTCTGCCTTAACTGTCCTGGTTGGGCACTTTGGGTGTAATCCTGCTCCGACTGAAGTCAGTTCCAAAATTCCCTTTAACTTCAATGGGACAGAATCAAGTTCTTTGTAAGCCTTATTTTGGATACAGATTTCCTGTAATTTGGTTGCACTAGCCAGATTACATTGTTTTGAGAAAATGACCATATCAACACAAAATATGTCGCCAGTGCACATATAGTGTAGCCTTGACATTAACTTCTCTAGTGTTATGCAGATAATTTAATAGTATATGGCTGTGCAGTTGTTTTAATATTGTTTTTGTTTCTCGTTCATATTTCCATTTCTCTTTTTCTAAAATATATTTATTACAAAGGATAGGAGACAGTGATTTTCTAAAAAATGTTAAAGTACAGCTTCTTAAAACCAAATTCTTAATAAGATTATTAAAGGAAAGCCAGATGATTATTTACAGTACTTAAAGCATTCCAGAGGTAAATATGTTAAATACATTTTAACTGGTTTAATTTCCAAGCATATGCGATTTTAGAGAGAAAAATGTTAAAGGTGTAAATTTTTGAAGGACCAAAATTTTTCATTTTGAATTTCTTTGCTAGAGATTTTTAGGCAAGATTTGCAAATCTGTGTACCTTGAAATTAGGTCCCTAAATTGATAGTGCTTGATGCACCTCTGGAAGGTGCTCACATACTACGGTGATAAGCGCAGTATAAGAACCTATGTAGAAGAAAATAGAACATGTAGGCCCTGATCCTTCAATGTGCCTCAATATGAAATACCCTTGTAGGATCAGCCTTTGGAGTCTAAATATGTAGCCTGATTTTCAAATTTGCTGAGCACTCAGAAACTCCCATTGAAGTTAGGTCACTTATATAGGGGCTTAAATATGGAGTTAGGAACCTACTCACCGGTTTTTGAAAACCTTTTGGCTTTAGCCATTTAGAATCTATATAGTCATAAAACTCAAAGATTTGAAAGACGGGCACATGTTGGAGCTACAAAGGGCTTTGTGCACTTAGTAGTCTTCTTGAGCATCCCCAGAGCTGCTACGTGGTCTGGGAGGCAGGTTTCCTTTATCACCCAAATGCTCGTCGCGCTACTTGGGCTTGACAGTGAGTCTCTGAATTTGACCCTAAAAGAATGACATTAACACATTTCATTTTATACTATATCCTTAATGCAAAACAATGGAATGACCAATGTAAGTAAAGCAGTGTACCTGATGTGTGGATTTCTTGGGCCAATGAGCATTTTTACAAGAGAACATTGGTAAAATGACCTGAAGAGAATAATAGGCTGAAACTGCATCAGCTATACTTATAAATACATAAAGTAAGAGCTCAATAACACAGTTATCCAAGACATCTAAAATACAATATTATCCCAATCCATGGAAGAAATTAGTTTAGCTCTGATTCTTTAGTTATTTAAATTTTGCATCTAAAGCCTTATCAGAATGCACTCTATTCTCTGACTCACGACTTACTGCATTTAACACAATCTCTGTTACAGGTTACTTAGTTATAGAAAATCCATCAAGTAAGTTGATTAAAGATTTTTATATTATGGCTATCAATTCACTAGTTTGTTGAGTGTGAATGTGTGGTTCCTTTTTCTATGTTTATTATAAAAAACTCCAAGCTGCGTATAAATCATAAAAGCATGACTAATTGCATGGTAACTGGAGAAATGCTTTCTCTCTCTCTGGGGTGAAGCCTGCATGTCTGTGTTTTAGCTTGGGAAGTAATACAGGGATATTTAAACTCCTTGGGGTTTAAAAACCATGTCATTATGAGAATGAGGTCACTGCAATATTTTATATGTCTAAAACCTTGCAATGTATAAAATGTTTTCTGTGCAACAAAGAGATATTATTGTACTTTAGACTACAATGATAACCTTACAAACTTCATTAATATCAAAACTCTGCATCGGAATGCTAAATTTATTAAAAAACACTCCCACTCAACAGGACGTTAAAGCTAAAAACTAGATCAGGAGGAGTAATTGAGCGAGAAGATGCTCTTATTTTGAAATGCTCTAAACAAATCAAATAATCACAATGTCAGTGATTTATATAATGTTATTTTATCTCTGTAAATATCAATTATTATTAAACTGGATAACAATTTCTTTTGATAAGCCAGTGGTTAAATGAAAAACAAACAAAGTAAAGCCCAACTTTCACATGTGTCTAATTCCTCTGTCTTTACTTCTAGGCCAATAAGCAAGAAATCCTTCCTACAACATGTTGAAGAACTTTGCACAGACAACAACCTAAAGTTTCAAGAAGAATTTTCGGTATGTTACTAGCAGTTGTCACAACATTGCAAGACCTCCAGTCGTTTCATGTGTCACATTTCATGTCCATTTTAAGCATGCAAGGCCATGAAGGATTCTGGCCTTGATAATCAATACCCAATTACTAGGTTGATTGTTTAGAAAGTAATATTACACTGATTTAGGTTGTGCAGTCTTCATTGCAACCTGATCAGAATTATTCACCTAGTGTGTCAGCAGAAGATGAGCTTCTTTAGCCCTTCCTGCCATGACACCATCCTCAGTAGTCAGCTAGATGGTGACATTAAAGTGATAATTCTAAGAAATTGTAGCAATATTCATGTAGTTTGAGAATATTTGGTTTACAGCAATTTTTTTTTGCTTTACATAGCATGATATTGTTCAATTTTGAAAAAAAAATATTTATCAGATCTTTATGCTTAGATCAGGATATGATATGTATTGGATTGTAACTGATTGTATACAGGTTTCATTCAGATGAAGGATGAAACCTAACCACTTTAAACAACATCTTTTGCTCCAAGAATAAAAGCACAATATACATAGCTGACATTTATTTTGTGAAAGGTTCAGGGCCTGATCATGTTCCCATAAAAGTCAATGGGAATTTTGTCATTGGCTTCAATGGGAGCAAGACTGGGCCATACACTTTCATTTCTTTATATATAATAGGCCAAATCCTACTTGTCTTGCTCTTATGAAGAGCCTCAGTGGGACTGGAACTGCTCATGTGGCTGTGGCCAGCAGCATTTGAGCCAGTAACTCGGCAAGTTGTCTGACTCCTGTTGAAAAATGATTAGTTTTCAAAGCCCACATGACATCTATATAATAAATATACAATTTCAAAACTACATTTAAACCTCAACTAAACTTTTCACTGTTTTCTTAAGTAACTTCTCTTTTATGGCTATCACATTTAAATTACTTTTTACACTTTATCTTCTCTTTTTGTTATTTCAGAATCTTTATCATCATCATGTCTAACACATGCAGTTATTTGCCATCACAAAAATAATTTGTCTATCTCCAGTGACTTTACCATTTTGGATTTATAGATTTGTCATGAATTGCTTACTATTTGGATTTATAAAAATGAAGAATCAAACAATAGACTTTTATACTACTAGATTATAATATTTCAGTTTCTCAGGGAACAACAACAAAAGTGTGAAAAGATTAATGATATTTCCTACAGCTTTTTGGCTATGCTCCTTAAGTCTTATTGGACTGGATTTAATAATAATAAAAAAGCACCATAAAATTCTTCTGAGCAGTAATGCAGAGGAAGCTTTTTTTTCAGGAGTAGAAGTGTTATTATACTAGAACAGGAGCGATTATAATTATATTATGCATGACTGAGCAGATGAAAAGTTTTCCTAGCAATGACATGTTCACATTTTAAAGTTCATCACTGGAAAGTTTCTAATGTTACCTTTTAGGCATTAAAGTTTCACAACAATTATAGGGTTAAAGGTTACTGCATTGAAATGCCTTAAAATCTAACATAAACCGTAATGTTCTATCAAGTAGTAGTAGTATGAGCATTTTTTAAAACTTAGACAAATATATGTAGCAAAAACCTAATTTAACCAAATTATTAACTGAACTCTTAGTTAACCAAAGGGTATATCTGCACTGCATTGTAAACCCAGGTTAGTGGGACCTAGGCTTATGAAATCGGTGTTTCCAAGCCCACACTTGAGCATCCACGCTGCATTGTAAATCGGGTCTTATAGTTGCTGGACCTAGGTCTCACAGCCATGCTAACGTGTCCATACTGCACCATGCAGATCTCCTGACTCAGATACACTGCAAAATGACAGGGATTGGACCCAACTCCTAGCAGGACTTCGGCTCTGACACACTCCCTAGTATGGTCCTAGGACCCAGGTCCTGAGTGCTTCTTAATTCGAGTCAGATTGATTTATGTGTGGACAGAAGCAAGGCTTGGGCTCAAATCTGAGCCAGAGCCCAGGCTTAGAGTGCAGTGTAGACATACTCAAAATTGTTATGTGCCCTTTGGGTTTGTACTATACTTCAGCTTCCCCAAGTCCAATATGTAGCAAAGATCTGCCAGATGGCTTATCTGAGGCCATCCAGCACTCGGGGCAGGTTGTGCTCCTGGTGGAGGGCATATCAGTCAACTGTGCAGACAAGGAAGCTGTAAAGAGCCATGCTAACTGGTGGTGGGCCAGCTTCACCCATTTTCTGATTCCTCAGTTTTCTAAAGGTTTGGCATGTCTCCTGAGACCTATGCAAAATCAGGCTTGTGTAGTATTTGATACTGTTATGGTGAGTATTTGACAATATATTTTCTAAGTGCTATTAATGAATACCTCCAACTACCTCCAAATATCATTTCAACAAAAGTCCCCATATTCCCATAAAAGTTATCTAATATATACAGCATAAATGAACTATCTGTAAAGTTTATAACCCTACAGAGAAACATTCCTTCTGTAACAAATCATCATTGAATTTGAGACTCCAAATAATCTTTATCCTGTGCTAAATTAATCAGTTGGGGGTGAAATTCATCCTGGTGCAGAGAGCTGGCACAAGGCCATTAGCACCAGTTAAGAGCTGTGATGGGGCAGATCAAGGCATGGGGGCATAGTTAGAGCAGCAACACAGGATGCCTCTGCACTACAGAGGGCTCTCTGCTGCAGACTCAAATTAGCAAGTTAAAGTCAGTCTCATGGGATATGCACTTAACATGGAAATAATGGCCCAAACTCCTGCAAACGGCCATAGACCTTGGGAGAATGCCTCCTCCCAACACCCCTGCTTACTTTCCCACACAAAATCCAATTACAGAAGCTTTGTGTGAAGAGAGGAGAATGTTACCCTTTATGAATACAGGAAATTATAACTTGTCCATTTCCAGCTTTACTTTCCTGCCATTATTGCATCCTGATTTCAACCCCTAGAAATCAACTGGGCTCTACCTGGGTTCAGGGGACCTCCCAAGTGTATCCAGTTGCAAGATCAGGGCATTACTGTTTTATAAATTAAAATGTTATTTACAAAAGAGAGAAACGCTATTGACTATGAAGAAAGAATCAATTTTGGGAATGGCCACAGGTTTAATCCAGGGCAAGATTTACAACAGACATTATTAATTAGGGGATGAAACCATAGCTAAATCCATTCTCTTTCTTAACATGTGTGTTCTGTAACATGTGATAGCATTTTCTTTAGTTTTTTATTAACTTTGTGTCTGGTAATCACGTTGTTTAAGTCTTTAACATACATTGAGGTAATGTCAACTATTATGTGTAAGGAGATTTGTAAATTTAGAGGATGAATTGCTAACCTTAGAGAGTGAATAAATTCACTGAGTTGTATAGAGGCATATGGTCCTATGAAGATTAAGGGAGAGATTTTCAAAGGCACAAATGGGAGTGAGTCACACAACTCTCATTGACTTTCAATGGAAGATGAGCACCTAATTGCTCTTTGCAGTGATTTCCTCCTGTGTGATTTCACAAGGAGAGTGTGGCACTGCTAAGAGTAGAACCCTCGTCTCCTAACGCCGAATCCTGTGCCTTAACCATAAGACCATCCTTCCTTTCTAGGACAGCACCTGCAGTTGTACTATCTAGGATAAAATGATAAAGGCCATCCAGTATTGCTGGTTCAGGGCATAGACCTCTCATTAGCTGGAAGTAGGATGATATTTCCCACTGAATATAATTGCACACCATATGACACACTATGATGGTTTTGAACCCTCCTCTGAGCATCAGGCATTAACAATTGTTGGACATAGGATACTGGACTAGATGGACTAGTTTGCTTATTGTTGGGTGGCTTGTTTCATTATGGCAATTCTTATATTTTATTACAAATATTAATATAATCTAATAAGAAAATGAAGTACAGTAAATTATGTTGTCCTCTATAACTGAAGACATTAAGTAGGTCTGTGTGAATGCTTAAAATGAGTATTTGTGAAAAATAATTTGAATAACAAACACCATTGCTCTTTGACATTATTTATGATTTATATTATTTGCTGTTTGTGAATATTTGTACATGAAATTCTTGTCACAAGAATATTCACAGAAGGGAAAACTATCATGAAATCTCATGCAGACTTGCATTTGACAAGAATTAACATCAGGTTGTTGGCACAGCTATCTTGAAAGCTTTTCTGGCTTTGGGGATAATTCAGCCAGGGAGCAGAAATAATATTAAGTGAAGGAGGTGATCAGTTACACAGCACAAATGGCAAATTATGAATAACAAATAGTTAAAACAATAGGTACAGCTAATCATTTGTGAGCAAGCCATAGGTTGTAATATGCTTATATAAACCATTAATCAAATAATGAAGAAAAATATGAAAGTTAGTCTGGTTGTGGATAATTTGCAAACAGAAGGAAGAGTGGGTAAATTAGATCTGTCTAAGGGTTTTTCTGTATTGCCCATCACCATGGTAAATTAATGATCACACATAAATTTTGTCTCCATTTGATGGCCCATAGCAGACTTCATGGAATATTTTCCTCTTCACCCTTTTAGGTTCTAGGAAACTCTGCTTTTATATATAATATAATTTCATTAAATAAGTTCTTCCCTGCAAATGATTCATCTATCTCTGCCCCTGAGTAATAGAATTCATGAACAGTTATGAAACTATGATTCACTTGCTACTGAACCCAAAATAACTCTGTCCAACCCCCTCAGGAACAGGTCAGTGAGCAATAACTAATTGCCAGTTGTCTCTATTTGATTAAATGCTCACTGATTCTCATGCTGTGGCAAGAGCTCTCCCAAGCTACAGGAATTAGGAAAAGGCATTTCTCAAAAGTAAGGCTGAGTCGCATAAGACATTGTTACCACATTATATGGCATCATGAAAAGACAGGAAAAAACACAAAAGGTGATAGTCTGACTTTATCCAGACTTTTAAAGGTGAAAGTTCATGTAAGCTTAAATTGTTCAACTTGATGGTGTTTTCTGCAGCTCTGCATCTGACACTGTTGATGTAACTAGGGTTGACGGTGAGGTGAAATGCTTCTGCGGTGTCTCCAGCTGCCCTTAGAAGTGTAACATATCATAGAACTGAAAAGTCCTTCCTTTTACCGGAATGACCATATGAGGGGAAATTATATTATTGATCCATTTGTAATACAGAACACAAAGCAAATTTAAAGGCTTTCTAACAAATATGCATTATCTTACAGGAACTTCCAAAGTTTCTTCAAGACCTTGCTTCAACTGATGCTGATCTGCCTTGGAACAGGTCTAAGAATCGCTTTCCAAACATAAAGCCATGTATGTCTTTACTAACTGGTCTCTCTTTTTTACTCTCTAACTGTAGAAGTACAGTGTATGTTTGGAATGCATCTGAATTTTTCATTTGGTCTCTCAGATAAGTTACTATAATAATGTACATGTTATATTATAATTTACTATCAACTAATCTGTTTTTGTTCACTTGTTTGAGTAAGGGTTATTTGTAAATGGCTTTCAACTTGCTCTCACAAGCTTTAACATGCAGGTGCAAGAAATTTTAGCCTGAATAGTTTCTTAGCTTTGTAATTTAACCCAAGTAGCAAACTCTTTAACATTCTTCCTGGACTTTTCCCCTTAGTTAAAAGTAAGTTAAGTGTAAAATCCACATGTTTGTGCATTTGTTTTCCATGGGACCTTGGTGATGCTTTCTTACAGCTACTTGCAAATATGCTGCAAGAGTTCCATTGAAGATCAGAGTGACTGTATGATAACTTATAAGCCAAGGCTAGATTTTATCACAGGAGACAGGAGTCTGTCTCTCTGTACTCAACACTGCTTCATTTTTCAGTTAATAAGACAAGAAATGCCATTATTATTTTAAGCATTAACTGTGATGTGAGATGGGGGGCATGGCATTCCTCTGTTAATGTAGCTACATTCTGTGCTATTAACTTTACAGAACAGCTGTTCCTGTTATCTGCTGCTTGGTTCAACACATATTCTGTGCTCTAATTTACAATTGCTAAAAACTGATATTCATGTTACCCAATAACATTGTCAGAAGTGCGTCAGAAATCTTTCGTTTTATAATATCCTTTCTTTTTACTGGTTTGCAGAAGCAAATGCCAGGAAATGGATAATTGATTTCAGTATGTACCGATTCAGAATCTTTTTCACACACGACATCTTTCCTATTTTTCATCACTTCTATATACTTATAATGGGCCAAATTCTGAGGTCCTTCCTCAATTTTTACTCAGTTCTCACTTAAGCCGACTTCCTGTTTTAGGGGTTTGCCTGGCTAAAGAATGAGTTAAAGCTCAATAAGGACCTCAGGACATGGCCTGGTGGTAGCAGAATATAACAGAACAAACAAATATAAATGATTAGGCCCAGGCTTGTAGTCTGATCCAGACAGAGGACCGCATCACCATTGCACCACCTCATCAAAGGCAGTTGGCTCTGCAAAGGCACAACAGGCCTGCACACCTCAGATTGCAGGATTGGGCCTTAGACGTTTGCATTAGAAATAATCATCATGAGAAAAATGCATTGAAATGTAAAGAGCAAGGAAGGAGAGTGATTATACAACCAAACAGGCTGGTTAAATAGTTCTTGGGAGTTGCAATTACTGTACTGTTTTGCCAAGGTAGATTTAATAAAATTAGCTAAACTAATGTAAACATTAATTTTGAATTCTCAGCATCATAGCAACATCTGATACATGTCACTATAGTTTACAAGTAAACATCTCAATTAAATAGACTTTATTTCTGCTATAGATAATAACAACAGAGTAAAGCTGATAGCTGATGCTGGTATTCCAGGATCGGATTACATCAATGCCAGCTATGTGTCTGTAAGTTGGAAGTCTCTCATAATGTTCATCACATTTTTTCTATTTTTATGTTCTTTTACAAAGTGACTTAAAAGGGAATCTATTTTATATCAGAACATGCTTCTAATGTTTTTTCCATCTACTGCAGCTGTTGTGGCCACACTGTCACTTCCAGCACTATGAATTCATGTGTCCAAGTGTATCATTGAACATAATTAGTTTTAAAACATTTAATTTGATTTGTGCATTGTTATTGTTGGGTTGTGTTTATTAATAGTAAAACAACTGTAGTCAGCTAATTCATTTCTGGAAATTATCTCATCCTGTTCCCATTGGAGCCAATTGTGAAAATCCCATTCATGTCAGTGGTACTGGATATGGCGCTATTTTGTATTTCTTAGTTAAGGATTTTGGGGTATTGTATAAAAGATGCTATGTAAAAATAAATAGAACTGAACTGAATATTCCTGTAACAATAGATAACGTGTTTTTATGCTATTTTATTTTATCCTTATTATTTCATGCTAATTTTGATGAGGAAAAATTTAAATATGCCACCTGACAACACAGAAGCTGTGGTATTGTTCAATGACATAGCTGCTACCAAAATATTTTAATACAATTGAATAAGCTGATGTGTTCGAACATAGACAAAATAGATTATTAAAATACTCTGTTGATGGAGGGGAGATAGCACAGTGTCTCTTTCCTCCAGTCTTTCTGCAGAACAGAATAGATGTCATTCCCACCCTGCTCCAAGTAATGCCTTCCCTAGAGTTTGGCCCTATTGGTAACTCAAGTAATAATAGCAGAACATTTCTCCCCACACTTATCTGTTTCTCAGGGTTTTCTGCAGGATCTCCCTGTCTCTGCCCTTATTTCCCTGAACCATGGTAATGCCCCCCTCATGCATCCTGGTAAAACAATCAAGCTATCCCTCTTGCAATGATTATTATAATTATTTATTGTTTTTATTACAGTGGCCCCAACTGAGGTCAAAACCCCATTGCACTACACACAGTACAAACAAAATAAGAGACAATTTGTGCCATGCAGGTCTTCCCATATAAATAGATGAGACAGCAAAGAGTAGCTTTTGAATGCTTTTGAAAGAAAATAGTATTATCTCCATGTTACAGACAGGAAACTGAGGCACTGAGACTTGCCCAAGGTCATACAGAAAGTCTGTAGCAGAGCTGGGTATTGAACACTGGTCTTCTGAGTCCTGACTCCCATCCCACTGTTTTAAACATCATCCTTCCTTTCTATTAGTCAGCAAAACTTACTCATCACTTTATACAGTGTTCTAACAGGGTGGGTCAACAGAAAAGACCTTCCGCCCTGTTACAAATCCTGTTACACAGCTGTAGTGCTGTTTGCCATGCTCCGGGCCTCTGAGGTGGTGTTCTGAGTAGAGTGGAAGGGTACGATTTATCCAGGATTGATATATCGCATCCCGAACGCGCTCACCGTCGACTCCGGAACTCCACCAGAGCGAGCGGTGGTAGCGCAGTCGACGGGGGAGCCACGGCCGCCAATCCCGCGCCGTGTGGACCCCAGGTAATTCAATCCAAGATACTTCGACTTCAGCTACGCTATTCGCGTAGCTAAAGTTGCATATCTTGGATCAATTCCCCCCCCCCCAGTGTAGACCAGCCAGAAGATGGACAGGTCTCCACTCTTCCCCTCACTGGCTAGCATTCAAAAGCTGATGCTGGGAAGCTCACACAGCACCTTCAAAAAGGCTGCAGAAAGTGCTTCTGCGAAGAGCTCTCCCATGCAGGCATTTTTGCTTGCTTCTGACTTATGCAGGCATAATGCCTTTTGTCACCGTTGATGGGATATTGCAGCTGCCAAGCCCACCAATTCTCAGAGCTACTAACTTTGCCGTGTGTGTGTGTGTGTATATATATATATATATATATATATATATATATATATATATATATATATATATATACACACAC